TATATATGCATAGATATATTTCACGTGACTGGACTTGAGGATAAAACTTATATATACCCCTATCAATGCAGGGGTGTATATATGTATATATGCATAGATATATTTCATGAAATATATCTATACATATATATATACAGTATATTTATATATATATACATATATATATATATAATACACTGTATATATATATATATATATATGCATAGATATATTTCATGTGACTGGACTTGAGGATAAAACTTGTTTTAAACTATATGTGGAAAAACCTTTGGAAAACCTTGACTCCTTTCTCTGCCGACCAGAATTCCTTAGTCACACACCGCCCACATCCACACCCACACAATTGTGGTCCTAACTATCTTTCTGTAACAACATATGAGTCTTTCAAAAAGTTCATTGCCATAGTGAAAAAAAAACACATCCATCTGTTTTGGTTTAACAGGCATTAGCCAGTTTCACAGCATTCTTTTTCTTAAAAAGAAAAAAGATGCCAGTCTAGTTCACCAAAGACAAAAAGGGAAAAAGAAAAGACAGAAGAGAGGCATCCATTAAGTGCAGAGGAAAAGCTTACCGACGTTCTAATGCGGGAGTGTTTTGAAGGAAATATGTATCAGAGACAAGTGGGAAAATGGAGGCGGAGAAAGAGAGGAATGAAAGTGCGAGTAGTTGTCCTTTGTTCACTGTTTCGATCCTGTCTTCTTCTTCTTCTTTTTTTTTTCATTCTTCTACACAATCCACAAAACCACAGACTTCCCTCACAGAGTAGTAAAACAAAGAGGGAACAGTTCTTGTTTCATAAGAACTGTGAAGTCAAACAAATGGAACAGCTTTCACGTATTACGCTGCGGCTGGCGTAACGTCTACTAGCTCGATTAGTCTGTTCCTGGGTACGATCGATGGAATTTTGCAAGCTGTTAACAAGGAAGCTAAACATTCAAATGGAAGAACGACTCATACGTAGCACGGGAAAAACTCAATTTGACGGTTCGACAAAGTAGAAAATTTCTTAGCTTTCTACGATTTTCCTTATATTTACATTTACGTATTTAGCAGATTCAAATTTGAGCTACATAGAAGAACGCTTGAAAGGAGACCTCTAGTCAGGCGCAGAAGTGGAGACAAGGGCAGAGGGAGAAGAGAAGTGCAGGAAAGCATAGTACGGGAGGTGCACATTACACATTAGCGTGCAGTGCAATGCTAGCATAAAATAGACGAACGAGTTTAAGGCGCATAAAAACAGTTATATTAAAAATAAAGTGTGCAATAAACTAGTCTGAAATCAAAACAGAATTTTCTTATCACGCCCAGCAGAGAAAATTTGGCAAAACCAAATTTTCTTATGAACCAAATGGGGCGCCCAGCAGAGAAAATTTGGCAAAACCTCCGATTTAGGTACTGATGTTCTTTGCTAACATCTGTTTTCGAAACCTACCACATGTACACACACACACACACACGTGCATGCAAACTTGATTTCATGGTATTCTTACTGGTTTGCCCTCGGGTCCTCTGTGACCTTTGGCCCCTTTAGGTCCTGCAGGCCCAGGTTGGTTGTTCTGTGAAAAAGAGAAAATAAACATGGTAATTAGGGAGAGTAAGAGAGCGAGGCCCTTGTCCAGGTAACAAAAAAAAAAAAAAAATGACATCACTACATATGCAATAATTACGCAGGGTCCGTTCTGAATGTCTTTTCTGCTTCTGTCCTTTTTTATAATAATGCAGTACATGTTGAGGTTTGATACGCTCCCCTAAAAACGTTGTGATACCCGGGGGCCGTAACATCCCTATACATGAACAAATCTGACTCCGAAGTCTATTTTTGAACTAATTTTGCTTAGTTTCATGAACGATTAGTGTCCGAACAACAAGTGGTTAGCGCAGGCATGGGTAAACTAAGGCCCGGGGGCCGGACGCTGCCCATTCAGCTTTTTAATCCGGCCCACCAAACTTTTCCAAAAAATATAATTTATTCATGTTATCATTATACTTCTGCCTTTTCCCTGCAATACCCAAGTTTCCCCAATAGATGGTGTAGAAAATGATAAAAAAAACCATTTAGCCTTTATGCGTGACTTGTCTTGACATGTCTTTTATCTTAGTTCACACAATTGCGCCATCTTTCTGACCCTGACCCGGCCCCCGTCGTCAAACGCCAGGGGGGTGTTTGAAAGGGGGGGGGCAGGGTCAGGAGCAGATAGATGGAGCGTTCGTGTGAACTTAGATAAATGAGATGCCAAAGTCATGCATAAAGGCTAAAATGCTAAAATGCTTTTATCATTTTCTACGCCATCTATTGGGGAAACGTGAGTATTGCAGGGAAAATAGCAGAAGTATGATGATAATATAAATAAATTATCTAAAGGTTTGGGGGGCCGGATTAAAAAGCTGAACGGGCCGCATCCTGCCCCCATGCCTGATCTCGGCCAAAAAAATGGATTAACTGCAATGTGAGGCCAAAAAGAACCGCTGGGAAAAATGGGAAAAACTGATTAGGGTCACAAACTTTTTGGCTCACGAACAGAGTCACAGAAGAAAATAAGTTCGCAACCCAAGGTAGTGTATTACAGTAGTTTATGTCATTTAAACAAGATCAAAGTGTTCAATGTTCACGCGCTTCATCAAGGTTAAATTGCAGAGAACACATGCGAGCTACGTATTTACTTGAACTTGACCAGGCACTAAGAACAAAACCTTTTGGCTCCGTCATAAATGTTAATTGTAACCAGATTCTGGCTGTTTTCTGTCTACATCACCGCAGCTGTCTGTGAGAATGGAAGCCACTTAAGCCTTGACAGCTGCTGGACTGTGACCTGGTGCTGATCAACAAGATTAGAGCTGTGACGGCAGAAATGTGAAGAATCCCGACTTAAGGCTATGAAATCTTTTTGGTAAGAATGACCTCACAATTTACTTCCCCCGTTTCCAGAAAATGTTTTACACGCTTGAAATGTGGACAATTGTGGACTCGAGTCTCACGACTTGGACTCGAGTCAGACTCGAGGCATGAATTTGATGACTTTAGACTCGACTTGACAAAATGTAAAGAGACTCGGAACTCGACTTGGACTTTAACATCAGTGACTCGTGACTTCACTTGGACTCGAGCCCCTTTGACTCGACAAGACTTGATACTTTCTCCGAAACCCAAAGATTATAAAGTAAGTTATCAATCAAATTGCGGGACAACCAATGAGAAAGTAAAGAGAAAGAAAATGATACCAAAGATCGTGTTGTTCGGATTTAAAAACGACGAGATGGTCAACCAAAAAGCGCACCAACAGCATTGTAAAGTCGTACAAACACCCATCGGACTCTTCATTAAGTTATGCAACCTCTGGAAACCTGGTTTAGTAATGGTAGTTTTAACCTATTTCAGCCAATACTTTTCTAAAAGGTACAACGTTTGACAAAAGTGAATGTCTATTTGACGATTCCGTTTGACAAAAGTGAATGTCTATTTGAAGTTACAAAGATTGACTCTGTTGACTACTATCAATTCCTGGGCCTCACTTCACTGCCTTTTGTAAACGTCTCCTATATAAATTGACCTGAAACAGAGCCTCAAAAATGGGTCCCGCGTCACTGGAATCAGACTTCAGACCCTGTGAAGCTAAACAGAAGTATTTGAGCTGACAAGGTCAAATGTGCTCTTCTGAGCTGTCGTTGATACATCTACTGCTTCTCAGTGGGTAGCTTCAACCGTACTATTGTTTTACTCGTTACTCTCAAAAACACATAAGCACAACTGTTCATCTGTTTGTCCGCACTCCGACTCCAGACCATTTACAGTAATAAGCTGTATATGGTCAGAGACTATGACAAAACATAAAACAGTGAGCAGTGGGAGCAACGACCACAAATTGGTTGAAGGAAACCATAGCAACAGACAAACACTTAGTCAACAAACACACTACAACATGATTCTCAACCGGTTCAGCTGTCGTCCCAAGGATGAACTAGTTTTCGGTGGGTTGTGGGTCTTGTAATGGTATAATCTTTTTTTGGGGGGCGGGGGGGTTTGGCTGGTTTCCTCAGCCTCTGTGAACTGCAGTGTCACAAGTGACCACTAGGGCTAGAAAATAATAATAAATTCAATGCAATGATTTCCAAATGTAACTTTGTAGGATATCGACAGCAGGCTCTGTTAAACGAATCAGGTGGGAGGAGGTGAAGTAAGCAAAAACATATGTCACCAAAGCACATTAGCTGTTCGGTCAACATGGCTGAACTAGAGCCACAGCTGGAAAAAAGTAAGAAAAATATTCAACCCGCTGTCTTTAAAGCTGACGTTTCGCACTATATAAGCTTGTGATGTAAAAGAGAGGGGGACAGGAGACAGTTTTTGTTAACATTCTTGACTGCCTATTGCATATATAAATATCGTTAGAATAACAAATACTGTGTCACCCCGGCTCATTCACAAGTCTCTACTTATTCTTAAACATCCATCCATCCATCCATTTTCATCCGCTTATTCGTTACCGGGTCGCGGGGGCAGCAGTCGCCACCCAAATCACACTGCACCATACCAACCCCCCTAAACCTTCCTGCAGGTGGTGAGTCCACTGGAAGGTACCAACCGCCCTAACCGGGATTCAAACTTGCCCAGGAGGTGAACCCTGGGGTTCAACACCAATGACAGAGACATTGCCTCTGGGCCAAAGCGCCACCATTTCCAAATCATATAATTCAATTACTTCTACCTTTTCCCTGCAATACCCATGTTTCCCCAACAGATGGCATGGAAAACGATAAAATATTTTTTCTAGCATTTTAGCCTTTAATGAGTGACTTTTACATGTCGTTTATCTTAGTTCACACAAATGATTTTTCTAGCATTTTAGCCTTTATGCGTGACTTTTACATGTCGTTTATCTAGTTCACACAAATGCTCCATCTATCTGCTCCCGACCCGGCCCACCATTCAATTTTAGAATAATCGTGGCCCGCAAGTCAAAAAGTTAGCCCACCTATGTCTACAATTATAACATAATTACAGTGTTCCCTCTCACTCTCAGTACATCGCAGATTTTTTTTTTAAAAATCCAATCTCGCGAAATCTTTTTCTATATCACAAAATATAGCAAGAAATAAACTAAAAGACATACGGAAATTTTGGCTTTAAAAAATGTGGATTCTTGTTTTGAACTTGAGATAAGCGCATTTGCAAATGATCACTGGTACATTTGTTTACCTGGACGAGATCGTCCACAGCATACTTCTGGCTAATACAACGCGTACTCTATGTACTATTGGCTAACTGAGCATGCCTGCCAGTCTGTTCCTCACGCTGATTGGCTCACGCGTCGTAGCATCTCTCAGCATCTCCCCCTATCTGTTCGCCACTCTCTCGTCCACTTCACTCCGTGTCACCCTTATACAACTCTACTGCGCATATAATTGGTGGTTCGTAAAGTGTAAATATATATATACGTACATAACATAATAACTATCTCGCCTCTACTTCGCGATTTCTTGGAACACAGCTACCGCGATAGGAGAGGGATCACTGTATATATATATATAACAATTAGTCCATGTTTTTCCCCCTTTGTTTTCATGCAGGTACATAAAGAAAATATTGTATTTAATGAAATAATTTGACAAAAAACATCGAAATCCATCAAGCGGGCCGTACTGAAGCCGCTGGCGGGCTGGTTTTTGGGCGCGCGGGCCGTATGTTTGACACCCCTGGTCTATGCTCAAGATCTGAAACATGCCTATTTTGGTTGTCAAATAGAGTGCAACTGGATTTGCTCAGTTTCAACTCTCAACTCAACTCAGGTCATTATAGTAAAACAAGGGGTGTGGACCACACCCTGACCTTATGGCAGGAAAGTTGACATCACTGGTGTCAAGGTGTGAATGGGGGCTTGTGTTAGTCTTATGGGAGGTTTGTCTGTGGAGTGAACTCGGGACAGTCTAAGTGACTTAAGGATGTCTTAAGCAAATCTGATGTAGATCGCTTCCTTCGTTCCTCTTTCCAAACCATCTGTTTTCCTCTGGCAAGGATATGTGCATTTTCGTCCCCAAAAGAATATCCATTGTCCCTGAGATGCAAATGAACAGCTGAGTCCTGGCCAGGAGAGCTGGCTCTGCTGTTGTTGTTGCTGCAGGCACTTGTACAGTGGCTGTTCACCCCCCCGGACGCCTCCCCTCGGAATGTGCTTGGATCGTGTCCCACTGGGAGTAGACCCAGAGAAAGACCCAGGACTCACTGGAGTGACTACATTTCTCGGCTGGCCTGGGAATGCTTCAGGATTCCCTCCAGAAGAACTGGAGGAAGTGTCTGGGGAGATTGAAGTCTGGGTGTCCCTGCTCTGACTCTTACCCCCGCGACCCGGCCCTGGATAAGCAGACCATGATGGATGGATGGATGGATGGATGGATGGATGGATGGATGGACGATGGTATTGTACGTCGAAAAACTGTAGTCTGAAGTCTGTATTAAACAAGTCGCTCTTCATATGACTTTATAAGTGCCCTCGAAGTAGGTTTCCGTTACTAAAAGGTTGGTGACCCCTACTGTATGCCAAAGGCAACATTTGGTGAAGGTCTTTGTTGCGATCCCAAATGAGCCTATTCCTTATGTTACTGGTGTCTCTGAAGCCTTCTTTTTTTTTTTAACAAACACCGAATCCCAGTGTATTTCAAACTCAAACAATCTCCAAAAAAAAATTCAAATTCACCCCAAAGACGGAACGCCATACCGAAAACGTTCTCTATATCAGGTTCAAGTTTCAGCGTAGTTTTGATATTTAGGTTTAGTTTTCAGATTTAGGTTTGATGTAAGCTCACGTCAAACCTAAACATGTTTCACATTTACGGTTGAACTGAAGGGCAAGGAAACAAATGATCTCACACAGGTGGTCGCCTTCTCTGAGACATACACACGGACAAACATATAAAGGCTAACGCAGCCCCTGAATTGTCTGCACTCATTTCCTGGTATCCCTGACAACAGCATATACACAGCTGCATCCGATCACATCCCCTTTCCCAAGTCTCTCTCTCTCTTCCCCTCACACACACACACACAGGCACACATTTTGTTCAGATCAAGTATGTACAGCTGCAGAACAGAAGGCGAGTGTGAGAGCAAAAGCAGAAAAATGAGAACAGTAAAACATGTATGTAAAAGACTTACAATGCAAAAATAAAAATGAAATCAAACACACAATAAGTGTAAGTCACCAACAAAGAAGAAACGTATGATTCCTGATATTGCTTAAAAGACGATCAAACAAAATTCAAGCGTGCGCCAAGGAAGCCAGACACATAATTCACATCCTTTCGGCATGCTCTGCCAGAAAGGAATTGAAAGATAAAAACTGAGATCAAGGGCTAAAAAAAATGCTTCCAAAACAGAGGAAAAACAGAGGCAGACTCACATCAGGGCCTGGATCTCCTGGCTCACCATCATCTCCTTTTGGTCCAGGGGTTCCATTGCCGCCCTAGATGTAAGAAAAATATAAAGTGAAAGATAAGCATGGCCATTTATCTTGAGTACGAACAGTTATACAAAAGGAACAGTGGACTTACCGGCTCACCGACATCACCACGTGGGCCAGGATTTCCCTAGAAGAGAAGCAAATATGGTCACAATTTTAGAAAAAAAGTAAGAACTGGCACCATTCACTGACATGTGAGTATTCTGCAACTCGACCCAAACCTGAAATCCATGACAACCTGTGGTACCATTTCCTGGGTCTCCATCTACTCCCTGAAACGAGCAAAATGAAAGATCCCATCACTCGCACAAACTAGCAATCAATGCACAGCATTAGGTTAAAAAAGGGCCTGACAAATCGGTTGAAATCAAATCTGAATAGCGCATCGAGAGGCATAAGGAGTAGGTTCCATTATTTCTAAAAACACACGTGAATCGTATTGTATCGGTAGTGGTTACATCTGTCTCCCACACTTACTCTCTCCCCCATTGGGCCTCTGTCTCCTGGAGCTCCTTTGATTCCTCTGGGTCCTTTGGGTCCCTGCAAGATAAAGAGATTGTAATTAGGAACATGTGAAATGTTTCACGACCTCCGGGGCTCTTTCAGCCTGAACTCAGCTCAGTCGAACCGCAAACGCAAATTTGCCTGCTTATATACGAGCAAGGTTCCCGCTGAGCTGACAGATTATTGGTGTTAAGACTAAAGCGAAGTCTCAATTGATCGATTGATGGTACACATTACGGGGTCGACAGACTATCGACTGGTCAACCACCCAACTTGACGCTTGAAGTCGACCGGTCCCTGATCGAAAAACAGAAGAAGGCAGTCGAGTGTGCGCGATGGCGCTAGTTCCGCATCTTAATTGATTTCAATTGTCTTCTATGGTCGAAAGCGCAACTTCGGTAAACTTGGACATTTATTTTATCCTATGTGTGGCAACCAGGAAGATCGTGAGGGAGAAGCAGGGTTAAACAGGAATTCCAAACAAGTTTTCCGTTCAGAACGAAGAAAGTTTTCCACGTTTGTCGAAATGGTACCCAGCTGTCCCAGCTTGTGTTCTTGATCAGAAAACAAACACTGACTGAAACTGTGACATAGCAGTGCTGTCCTGCTCTGTATTAGCATAGCCAGACACGCTCTTGCACGTATGTTATGTCATTCCCCAGTATTGCAAAGCATTCCCTCCGACAAACAGTGACTAGTCAACGTGGACTCAACATTCATTTGCGAACAACCCCCAGAAAAACAGTGACTAGTCAACGTAGACTCAACATTCATTTGCGAACAACCCCATATCCCTAATGTCGCCTCCTATGTAGCAGCCTGCGAGTTGCAACCATATACTTAATGACGCCCCCTTGCGGCAGTCTGGCTAAGTTGCAAAGACTCACATTGTGAAATTTCCCCATCGTGGGACGAACAAAGGACTTAACGATTATTATTATTACATTAGCGTCAACCTGGACTTTAACAACAATAAGCTGTAACAACAAAGTTGTAAATCTGATTATTGTAATTCCCTTTATCGTTTCTTTACAGGAATGGGGTTTCATACGAGAGCAGTCATCGATGAGTACTACAACTGCAGTTGCGATGCATAAAAACACCTCTACCAAAGCGAAACAGCTACAGCGTTAAACACTGATACGAAGGGATGCCAACAAGAATTACTTTACAACTCAAGTACCGCCCCAATTTCATGAAAATAATCAGTCACAAACCTTCTACGAAGATAGAAGGATACCAAGATCACGCATATTGTAGTCGAAGAAATTCCAGTCACCATCGCTAACAATTAGGTGATTCACTTGATAACCATGCTTATGAATCATTTTACCAACCTCCAAGCAATTAAAGACACTATTCGGGTTTTACAGACACTGTACATGAGGAAAAATTTTAAATAACTAGCTGATGACCCAGATGCAGCGAAAGTCCAAAACTGTAGGTATAAAATCATTTTCCAACACGGCCACCAAAATGCTACTATGATAGCCAAACCCATAGTTTCCAGAGGAACCACAAACTTACCCCTGTTTCATCACCAAATTTCCATGTAAGCCATTCTCACTCGGGACCACATGACCAGACATCGACACTTTTGACCAAGGTTTTGCACATCCTGCCTCCGCATTTAAACATATTCTATGGCTTTCTTTCTTTCTTTCTTTCTGCACTGAATACTGCATTTCTGCATCCTGCAGCTGTGGAATGCCAGGATGAAAATCCATTGCAGGCGAGAAAAGTAGGGGAAGGTTTTTGGTCTCCTGTCTGGAGACTACGATGCCTTGAGTGCCTCAGTATGGGATTGCATTTGCACTTGTTTTTTTTACTTTGACACTGACAGCCGCTAGAGGGCACTCTAGGCTTGTGTACCAGTACGTGCTACTCCTTTACCACTGAAAATGTACATGTTCGTTATTTTCACACTGACATCCGCTAGAGGGCACTCTAGCTGGCTGGTGCGACTTATAGTCCAGAAAATACGGTAAATGTAGCCCAAAAAAAGTCACCAATTACCAGGAATTGCTTTTGTTTTAAATGGCTGAAACAATGTATATTTATTTATATTTCATCAAAATGGGAAGGATGTGCTAGTTCTGTTTGACTTACCTCTGCTCCCGGGGGGCCTTCATCTCCTCTGTAGCCAGGAGCCCCTACTTTGCCAGGCTCACCCTGAAAATCAAATATTATTATTTATATTATTGAACAATTAGATTCATTGTGTTTTTCTTCGTCACTGTCACTCAATTTTTAGGGTAGCATTGCTTACAAATGCCACCGTTTCCATTACAAGAAGACCTGCCTGGGTCAAACATTAGTCATTTTTGGTGGTTGTTTACATCCTTTTGTTTTCGGGTTTTACTGGATTTAATGCAAATAAAAGAACTTGCACTAACTTCCTAACAGCAGTGCTACATGTAGTAGCACATATTTACAATTTGATAATCTGAAGATTTTTTTTTTACAATATTTGGATGGGAAAAAAATATGCAGAAAACGGTGCACCGACATGTGTCAGTGATTCCGTGTTTCCCAAACTGAGTAACAGAGCTTCAGTTACAGAGCACAAAAGAAGAATTGAAGTCTCTGACATCACGGTGGTTTCCACATCTAACACTTATGAGGTTTATTATTATTATTGCATTGCCTGGTGCCTTGTTAAGAACGCCATACTGAGGCTTTGGCTGCTGTGTAGGAAGAGAAGAACTGAGTCAGAGGGGAAAGAGGGAGTGAACATTGTGATGTTCACAGGAAAAAAAAACGTGAAAAAAGTAGCAGTGGACAACTGTACTCTGGAGCTGCAGCCAAGTTGTTAATGGACTAAACTTCGACATGAAAAATATATGCCGTTCTCACATGTGTGTATGCTGGGAAGGACCCACTTCTCATCGGAAAAAAAGATGCAGCCAGGCCAGAGAGAGAAAAGTGGGTGGTTTGTTTAATGACTTTTCCAGCAACTGCTGCAGCTCTGCTTGCCAACAAACCCTATATGTAGTTTGCTGTTTGTTCCTGTGTTGTTTTCTGTGTATTCTGTGTTTCTGTTAGGAGTTGTGTCTTACGGGGTCTCCATTGGAGCCAGTAGGGCCCTCCCTTCCCTGCTCTCCTCTTGGTCCTGGTTCTCCCTGTAAATGAGAACAAATGTTACAATGAGTACATTGGGACTCAACACGAGAAGCATATAAAAACAGTAGATATTCCATGGAAACGGATCCCTGATGTCTCAAGGGGGGTTGTACAAAAAAATAAACCTTTCCCCACTCTTTAATCTGCCCGTCCAAAATTCTTTAATCCACTTGTAGCCATTTAAAATAGACACTTCAAAGTCTACACACAGTGAAAGATAAATAGAGATTTGGCATCAACAACAAAAATCCCATTAAGGTCGACCCTGAGCCTAACCCAGGCATGGGCAAATCTTTTGACAAATGACATGTTAAGGTTTTTCTAGCCTTTTCTAGCCTTTTCTAGCCTTTTCTACGCCATCAAATGCAGGCACTGCAGGGAAAAGGGAAATGTATGATAAGAAATAAATAACATCATTTAGACAAGTTTGGCGGGCCGGATTAAAGAGCCAAATGGGCCTCATGTGGCCCCAGGGCCGTAGTTTGCCCATGCCTACCCTAATCCTAACACTTAAAAAAAAGTTTGTACATTTACAACAAAATAAAATAAATATACGTTTCCTCAGTTAGCAGGATAAAGGGTTTCGGTAAGACTTGATGTGAAATGCGAATCTGACGAAGAAAATGTATCTGGCAAGGAAATGGCGGTGAATTTATAACCTTATAAAATTTGATATCCAGCTCCAAGATTAGTGAAAATAATTTGGCAGTTCAACAATCAACAACCTCCAGGGAAACGTTTTCAGTTAACCCAGTACTTCTCAAATAGAATGGAATATACGCCGGACATAATTGTACCACTGCTGTAATGCTTGAATGATAACAAGCCTCCAGTCACTAGGTGGCAGCAACTCATACAGTGGTTTGAACAGATAAAAAAATATGCACGTTATCAGGTTCGCAATAGTATTTCAAATCGCGGGGGATGATCTGCTTGCTGTAAAGCACGGGTTTTCAAAGTGGGGGGGCGTGCCCTCTACGGGGGACACACTACCATTGCAGGGGGGTCGCGGATGGAATGAATGAATGAGACATAACTCAGCATATTGTCCAATGCTGTAAATCTTTAACAAGAGACAAGAGGCTCACTCTCGTTTTTTTTCCCCTCGCCCGTTCGAGCAACAATTTCGGCATCTTCCAACACCATGATCCACCACTGTTGAAGTCTTTAGACATGCAACTTCACTTTGCCCTCTAGCCCTAAGTAGGAGTTTAGTCAGACATGCAACCTACTACCACTTCGCCCTCTAGCCCTAAGTAGGAGTTTAGTTGCTTTGTGGACACAATGTAGACGTGGCTTCTGAGAAATTCCCTAAATCTTATCTTATCTTATCTTTAGCCTTTTGCAGCTGCCTCTTAAACTACTTTTTTTTTTTTAAAACTGAGGTTTCATGACTTACAAGTTCTCCTGTACTTTTTTTTTTAAGTGAGGTTTCATGACTTACAAGTTCTCCTCTTGGACCCCTGTTTCCACGGGCTCCTTGTTCTCCCTTCTCTCCAGGAGTTCCCTTACGGAGAAAGATATATACAGCTGTCATTTTAGCTGTCGCGCACATCACAACACAGCCATGTATCCTCTTTACCCACCTTATCTCCCCTGGGTCCATCTGGTCCAGGTGCACCCTAAAATTCGCACATTAACAGCACACGTTATGACATCAGCGAAGTCGCCTCAAGCTCAAGTATTTCAAAAGTCTTATAGCGGAATCAGTGCTCACATCATCACCACGTTCTCCTTTGTCACCGTCGGCACCACGAGGACCTGGATCTCCCTGTTATAAAAAAAAAAAAAATTATATATACACACAAGTCACATTTGTTACTTTGCAATGGTGTTCTTCTCTATTCTCTTATTTACCCGTGATCCCAGAGGTCCATAGTTTCCAGGTCTTCCTGGGTCGCCATTTCTTCCTGGATCTCCCTGATATGAAGATATATATCAAAAAATAGGCTTGTGACAAATCACCTGAAGGCTGGACCATTCCATTATCGAATGCTACATTACTGGAGTCTTACTTTGCCTCCTTTCTGTCCATATGGACCAGGATCTCCCTTTGGTCCAGGCTCTCCCTGCAGACCCTGGAAACGTACCACCAAGAAACAGCTTCAGAAGTGTCTGATCAAAACCAGCTGAAGCCAAGAACCGCGGCATCGGGGCCAGCATGCACGTGCCGTATCTCCATATACGGGGACGTTTGTTTACAACATGGCTATAGGACTTCATTTAAACAATCTGACAGTAAAGAATGTAAACCGGCCGGTGGTTAAGTAGTTCATGGACTCGAGGCTTCGGGGTGTTTACTAGTCACATCTGCACTCTCAAACCCGGTAACTTAGCTGTAAACATTGACGCTGAGCCGAGTGACTCTGTTAGTTTGCGCGGATGACACAACAACACATCGTTTCACCGAGTGCCGATTGAATGACTTTATATATATTTTTCAGCCTTTGACATAGGGTCAGCTGCTACAGAGTCTGTTAAATGTCCAACGTCTGGTTTCTGTCAAGATGGGATTCCTAGTGTTCAGACGCCGCTCAAGAAAAAAAACCCTAACGGTAGAATTGTTTGGAGGAAAAAAAAAAAGATTTATAACTCACATCTGATCCAGGAGAACCTTTACAGCCGGCAAGACCAGGGAAACCAGCTTCACCCTAATAAGAGAAGAGACAGAAAACATAGAGGATTAGAATCATCAACATCGTGTTGGCCTTTTAAAAACACTGATCTGTCAGGAGCAGGGATTGGCCGCCGGACTATGTAACTTACCTTGCGTCCATCAATCCCGTCTCTGCCCCTTTCACCTTTGTCTCCCTTAGAAATAAAACGAAATGCGTAAGAAATAAGTGAGAGATTAAAGGTAGATTCATAAATTGAAAACATTGGAGAACAGAACTTTAAAGACAAGACAGGAGAACACACCTTGTAGCCTTTGGTTCCTCTGTCACCCTGAAAAAAACAGCAACGGTATCTGTGAGTAACAAATCACGAAGAGATAAACTTCTCCCCCGAGCATATTTCGCTTTTTTGCCCATTTACCTTTTCTCCTTTTCCACCCTGGTCTCCCTGTGAAAAGAAACATAAACATGTTATTATCAACACCATCAATTAAAAGATCACTGTAGACATGAATCATCAGAAAATGCCTTAACTCGGACAACAGTTAGCGATGCTAAAACAAATAAACATAACGCATTTCATGCGTTATTTTCTTGTTAGGTTAAAGTTAAAATAATAGCAGGACATTAACGACTTAAATGTTCTGGGTTTTTTTTTGAGGTTTTTCGCAAACAAACTCATCACACTGAATCTAACTGAGTGGTGATACAAGTATGCAAAAGCTATTGTTTTACTGAGAGCCTGTTTGATGTTCTAACTCAACATATCATATACAACTATATAATATATAATTTCTATTTTAGAAAAATTCCAGCCAAGTTGACATTGTATTTTTGGGTCTAGCTGCTTTGTGAAAGAAAAAAAATCTTTCACGCAGTGTGTTCAAATAACATTAAATACACACATTATTTGAACACATTTGGGGAAACGTTTTTGTTTTAAACACAGAAACGTCATTTATATTTTCGTCAAATGTTTTCCCTTGTATTGATAAAATACACAGTCCAGCCAAGTTGAGATAGTATTTTAGGGTCAAGCTGCAACATGAAACAAAAACTCTTTCACACAGTGTGTTCAAATAACAATCAACTACACGTTATTTGAACACATTGTGGGAAAGATTTTTTTTGTGTATTAAAATTGAGCTGGTGATAAGCGGAAGGATGGAATTGTTGGATATATAGTGAGTTTCATTCAACAGGTATGTTAAAATGGGCTAAACATTTAATATCATTAAATTTTTTTTTTTTTTTTAAATAGAGGATTCGGTTATTTTAAACTTTCGGCCCATTTGTATTGTAACGTCCAATACCAGTGAAATGATAATAAGATGAGTCCATCTACTTAGGTTTGGCATGATAATTGGCTGATTTATTTTTATTTCTATTTAGTGTTTACATGCAAATTAATTAAATCCCCACCCATTTTTAAAATGAATACCTTATTTTTTTATTATTTTTTATGGATCGAAACCCACTTCAAGTCAACATAGAACACACAACTCTGCCAGGTTCATTTTATATTTCTGAAAATATAGCACAAACTGGTAATGAATAATTATATACTAAAATTTTGATTTAAATTTTGACATATGAACAAATCAAAACTAGTCACTAGTCACAAAGTGTTGTGACCTTACTGTTACAGGTACATCATCTAAGGTTTGGGTATAATTATTTTAAATTGCATTTATATTAGTAAAATAATGCATCTTCGGATGCTTTTTTAAGTATAAACTCATATAAAAAAATATTATTGCTTATTAAAATAATCATTAGGGTACCATATTGGATCATCTCAAAAGATAAAAGTTACCTTCATTCCACTGTAACCAACAGGACCGGGATCTCCAACGCTGCCCTGTAACATTGAAAAAGAATTCATTCAAGTTTTACATCAGAGAATATTATTAGGCAGAAAATGTGTTTATTGTTGTGTTATTAGTAGTATCATTTTCAAGTCAAAATCACATACCATGTCGCCAATATCTCCTTTC